AAAAATATTGACAACAATCCTTCTCGTCTCAAATCTTGAATTAATATGCTGGATCAGGCAATCCAAACAAACATTAAAAACGTTCACTTTAAGTTCCTTTGTATGGCTGAAGTGGAAATAGGCTGTGTTTGATGCCTCATCATAAAGGTGCTTTAACTTACGCTTTCCTTTAGTTCAGCTTCCAATCCTAGCGAGTCAGCTACAATTACAGCCTCTTAGAAAATTTGCAACCAAGTGTCCCTAATCCGTTTAAGATTTTCAAGCAGCTGTCTAATCAAACGTAGATCATCATCAATGGTAATGGCTGCAGATTGTAGAAGACGACTTATGGCTACTCACTAGTCAAACAGATTTTTGCGACATGTTTAAGAGCTGCCAACATTTCTCTTTTTCGCAAGTGGTTTGATCAAGTCAATAAGAGAGCTCCATGTTGTCATTGAACAATGCACGCATGGTAAAGATGGCGGAGTTATATATAGAATTGTAAATAAGAAAAAGTTTATCAAATAAAGTAATATATCTTCACATGACAGCAATTAAGAGGAAAAAATATTTATAGAAAAAGAAAAAAACTAAAAAAAAAAGACTAAAAAGTAAATAAAAAATATATTGGAAAGTTATTTAGAAAACCAAAGTACTTAAAGTTTAGAGATGTGTAAGAACTTTATAGACTCAAATAAATATAATTAAAGAACAAAATACATTACAAAAATAGTAAACTAAGAGAAAGTAAAGAAAGAATCAAGTTAATGAAAGGAAAAGATCAAGAGTTTTTTACATTTGTTTTGATTATTTTTTGCTTAAAATATTATTTGTAAATTTAAGTATTTTCCAGGATTTGTTTTTATTATTGACTTTTTGATTATTATTATTATTAGCAGTTATCATTGTTATTATTATTATAATTAAATATTTATCATTATTATTAAATAATATAGCATGATTTATCCTATATTTATCCATTATTTACCTCTTATTACAATTTACATCATTATGTATCTCATATAAATGTTATTTACCTAATGTTACTACTTTCTTACTATATCTCCTTTTTTACTTATTATTACTTACTTTATTATCATCAAATTATTTAAATAAATATATTATTTATATTATACTAAGTCTAAAGCTACTAGAGTTATTAATATATCTAAATTTATATTCTAAATCAAGTTAATAATATTTTAATATTATCTAGCTGTAGTACTTATTCTCCTGTGTAAAGTATTTAAATCTCTTATATCTTACTATATTTCTTTATAACTAATCATTCCTCAGTATTTAAAAAAGCAACTATTTCTAGATTAACATTTTTTAGTCTTAATCTCTCAGTTTCTTTATAAATATATAGTAAATATCTTTAATTATTTTTTCTCTATAATTTGTTTAAGCATAATAAGTCATGTTAATAAGAAATCTTTGTAAATTCTGCAATAAAACAGTGGTTGATAACTATAAAGGAATTCTATTTAATTACTGCTCTTCTTGGTTGCAAATGTAATTATATCAACAAACACACCTATAGTCTTATTAAAAAAGATTCTACTGACTGGTATTGCAGTGACTGCATCAACAAAAATTTGCCATTTTGTTCAATTTCTGATTTTGAGCTCTCTTTAACTTTATCGTCTCTGACTATACCAACTAATAATTTAAAATCTCTAAAATCTCTACCTCCCTTCAAAAAATTATTCAATAATATAAACAAAATCTCCAACAAAAGTATCAACTGTAAATATTATGACATTCTTGAATTTAATAAAGTTTTTAGTAATAATTGTAATTTATACCCACATCTAAATGTTGCTTCGCTCCTTTATCACATTGACAGTCTTTACAGTCTAATAAACTCTCTTACCACTCTTCCAATAGTAATTGCTATCTCTGAATCAAGACTAAATATTAACGATTCCAGTAAAACTGATTTTAATATAAATGGTTTTACTGTTGAGCATAGTCAAAAGGGTGAGGTCAAAAAAAGTAGTGCTCTTCTATATTTACGCTCAAACTTAAACTATTTTATTCGTAGTGATCTAATAGTATACTCTCCGAAATACCTGTAATCTATCTTTGTTGAAATCGTCAATCCCCTAAAACAAAATATTATTGTTGACACTATATATCGACATCCATCAATGAACTCTAATGAATTCATTACTGTTCATTTAAATCCCTTGCTTGAGAGGCTTAGTTTAGAAAATAAAAAAGTTGTCCTTATGGGTGATTTCAATATGGACTTGTTAAATTATAATGAATCGAAAGTTATCTTTAGTTATCTTGATACATTATGTTCTTATTCTTTTTTTCTTCTATAATTCAACCTACACGTATAACTGCTACATCTAAGACACTCATTGATAATATCTTTTTAAATTTCTAAACTTCTGATTTAATTTCAGTCAATCTTACAATATCCATTTCTGATCATATGGCACAGTTTATCTGCATTCCTTGTCCTTCTCCCAAAAAAACTGAAATAATATTCAGACGAACCTTCCATAATTTCGATAATAAAAAATCTCTAATGCAGACTGGCAAATACAAATTACAAATAACAATAATGTAAATAAATTGTTGCACTATTTTTTTTAAAACTTTGAACAAAGTTCTTGATCAACATGCACCCTATAAAAAACTAACTGCTAAACGAATTTAACTTAAATCAAAACCTTGGATCACCAATGGAATTCTAAAATCAATATCTATTAAAAACAAACTATATAAACAATATATAAAAGCAAAAAATCATAACATTAAAATTCATATTTTTAATAAATTTAAATGGTACAGAAATAACATTTGCAATTTACTAAGACTTTCTAAAAAATCATATTACATCAACTTTTTTAACAATAATCTTTACAATGTAAAAAATACTTGAAAAGGCATAAAAGTAATTATTATTATCAAACCTTCTTCCTTTTCCAGTAAATCTGTTAATCTCAAATTTAATGGCAATACAATTTCAGACAGCAAAGCTGTATCAAACATATTTAATAATTACTTTGTAAATACTCAACAAACACTGTTAACAAAAATTGTTTCACTTAAATGTAATTTTTCAGACTACTTAAATAACCCAAATTTATTAACTCCTCTTTTATAGATCCAGTCACTGAAAATGAAGTATCAAATCATATAAAAAGTTTACAAAGTAAAAAAAGTTTAGGTATCAAAAGTATTCCCACGTTTCTTCTCAAACTTGTTTCCCATATCATCTCAAAGCCTCTCTGTACAATGATAAATAGCTCTTTTGAAAATGGACTTTTTCTAGATGTCTTAACAATAGCTAAAGTTATTCCAATTTATAAAAAGAGGCTCTAGAACTGACCACACTAACTATCGCCCAATTTCGCTACTGTCAAACATCAGTAAAATATTTGAAAAAGCTATGCACAACCGCTTTTACAACTTTTTAGATAAATATCAATGTCTTTACAAACACCAATATGGGTTTCAAAGCAAGCATTCCACAACTCGTGCACTTATTGAAATCACTGAGGTTATCAGAAAAGCTCTTGACAACAACCTTTTTGCTTGTGGCGTGTTTGTTGATCTACTGAAAGCATTTGACACTGTTGATCATTCTGTTCTTCTAAGTAAACTGGAATACTATGGTATTAGAGGAATTTCTCTCCAATGGTTCACCTCATATCTTTATAATAGGTTTCAATTTGTATCTATTAGCGGTAACACATCTTCTTTAGTAAAATACACTAAAGAGAGCTGCAATTAGGCTGGATTGATGCTGTTTCACATGATTTATGAGTTTTTTCCATTGATCCCTAGATCCTCTGTTCTTACGAAAAAGGGACAAATACCTTCTTTTGAAAACTGCTTTTTTGCTGTTTTTTTTTTAAATAGTTACATCTTGATCTTTTTGACTCAAAACAACTGGCCACAAAGAGGGGTTACCAGAAATTATTACCGAGTCAGATTGAACATCACATTCTTCACTGTAAGATATAAATTTTCTTGTTCTAACTCTGATGATTAACTTTGAAGTTCTTTAGCTCAGATTTAGGAAAATATTTTCACCCTTCTACTGATCCACAGTTCTTCAAATCACACATATTGAGTGTGGTAAATTACACGTATTGAGCGCAGCAAAGATGCAAAAACTCAAATATTTGATAACTGTTTGTGTGCTGGTAGTGGCAAAGTTGCTTATTTGTCTAAAAAATGCAAAGCTCTGATTCTTTTGCTTCAAAGTAAATACTACCTAAAAGAGTAGCGCTTCTATCGTGAAATCGACAATAAATGTCTCTTGTGTTTGTTTTTTTGCAAGAAGTTGAAACGAACCCATGGAACGTATTACCAAACGAAGTTTTCAGTTCAATTAGTGTTGACTGCTTCAAAGCGATATTTGATCAGTTGCCATTATAGTTACCACATTGCATCATCTTCCAAACAATCAAGCATGAGCTAGCATTGCTAACTGTTCACAGGCTTACGGAATATGCCCGCTTCCGCCTAATTCTACTTCAATAATTTTTTTTTTTTCTTAAAAAATAGTTTATAATTAACTATAATAGAATTTAAATTTTAAATTTTTTTTTCATGAGCATTTTTATTCCGAATACAAAAGTTTTAATCTCAAGTACAAAAACTAAGCAGATTTCAAAATTTCAGTCATTAAAATACTTTATATTGTAAAAAAAAAGTAATAATAAAAAAATTAAAGAATAAAAAATCAACGGATTGCCCGGCGCCCCATAAGGCTTGGCGCCTGGGTCAATTTGCCCCCTATTGCCCTTCTCTCTCAAAAGCCCTGATATACATATATATATATATATATATATATATATATATATATATATATATATATATATATATATATATATATATATATATATATATATATATTTATATTTTATATGTATGTATGTGTATATATATATATATATATATATATATATATATATATATATATATATATATATATAGAGAGAGAGAGAGAGAGAGAGAGAGAGAGAGAGTAAAGTGTGCTTTCTAAACAGGTCATTCGGTTGTACTGTGGTTGAAATGCTAACAACAAGGACGCCATGTCATGGTTTATCCACTATGGATGTTATTATTTCCGTTACTTTAAATTCAATTAAAGCTAATCTGCCTGAAAACTCGTCTGTATTATGCAAAACGTTTGTAGAAGATTGTTTACAAAGGTATTCACCTAAATTGAACATTTAGTTTTATTTACGTTTTATATATAGTGTTTTTCCAATAAGGCTTAGGCATCTAATATCTTTTTATTATGTTGAATATATATATATATATATATATATATATATATATATATATATATATATATATATATATATGTTTTTTTTATATAAGTATAACAACTTTTATTATCATTATAGTGATCCGGAATTACGACCAAGTTCTTCAAAGTTATTGTTACATAAATGGATCATTAATTAAAGTCAATTGAAAAATTAGTCACCATTTTTGGATTTTTAGAATAAATAACTTTTACAAATAGTTATCATTAGGTTTTGTAAATAATCTTTGATACTTTTGATACGATTTTTTTAATTCTTAAATGTTTATCAAATTTTTTAGAATAAAAGTTTTTTTTAAAAACTGTAATAACACCTAATAACACCCTAATAACTCCTAATAACACCCAACTCAAAGCATACGTCATTCTTATGTCAACCTCCGTAACGCTTGTACATTGAGTATGTAAATATGTGTGTTTATATATATATATATATATATATATATATATATATATATATATATATATATATATATATATATATATATATATATATATATATATATATATATATATATATATATATATATATATATATATATATATATATATATATATAAAGATATATATATAAAGATATATATATAAAGATATATATAGGTCTCGGCGGTAGTAAATGAGTAAAAGAGCAGCAAAAAGCTCTCCTAAAACGAACGTGGCGAGCACTGCGAGCAGCTTCTTTAAATGGCTTCTTATGAGAGCTTTTGGTTTTTGCACGAGCTTTCTGTTCAGTCTTAATTCAGTCAAAAAAGTACTGCTTATTAAAAACAAAATGTGGTTTTCGTTACAAGTTATTGTTACAAGTTAAATGTGGTTTTCGTTACTCGTTACAAGCATATGTTTGTGCGTTAATGTTACAAGAGTATATACATAACAAGCGTCATTTAGTGTGTTGTCAAAAATTTATTTAGACGAGCCTTGACTTTAAGTTTTCACACTAGCTATCCATTTATTTATTAACAGCATTACTTATTTGATAAAAAATTTGGCAAAGCTATAAAAGTTTTTACTGCTTAAAGATTTTTAAGCATTTTAAGAATTATCAACAACAGTTAAAAATTTCACAATAAAAACGAATAATATATTAAAGTATTTAATATATAAACGTTTTAATATATAATATATAATATAATTTAATATATAATATAATTCATTACATAAAATAAGTTATTTTTCAATAATTTTTTTATCATTTAAATAGTTGTGTACTTTATCAATATAACTTAGAGTGTACTTACTTTATATTTATGATTATTTGATATTAATAATAAAGAGTGTCTAGTCCAAAACTTAAGCTTAGTGGAACAATTTTTTTAAATATTAAGATGAATAGGATGACATACCTAGTAAGTTGTTTATCGTTCACTTTGTCTATTATGTAGTTAATGATTCAACCAAGATTTATATTACTTGAGCTTCATTTTTACGTTAGCCAAATGAATATATATATATATATATATATATATATATATATATATATATATATATATATATATATATATATATATATATATATAATGTATTTAATTTCAAACAAGTTGAAAGTTAAAGAGAAAAAGCATGTAGTTATTTTTTTGTAATCTGTGCTTCTAGTAAAGTAATTGATAATAATACGGAAAAGTTTTAAATGCGTTGTGAAGTTAAAGAAAATTAGTAAAAGTGGAGTTTTTTTTCGAGAGATGACAAATTAACGTGAGTTTTTTTTTGTTTGTTTTTGTTTTTTTATTTACAATTATTTTCAATATCATTTTTATCAGGAGATTAAACAGCAATTCTATTATTAGTTGTGTGGCTTAAACAGCAAGTTAATGAAACGGAGGAACCATGATTATAAAACTGTTAAAAAAATATTCTTCTAAATTAAAAGGTTTGTTAATGTTGATGCATTCATGTATTTTGGATATACTCGTGTATCTTGGATCAATTCATGTATCTTTTAGATAAATAAACGTATCTACTTTTTACTTATTGCTTCATTTTTTGATTTCATCGTTTATTTAAAATTTTAATACGCTTTGTTTATGGGTTTGCAGAAAATTTTTCAGCGGATTCAAGATTTGCAAGCCCAAATCCTTGATAGGCTAATAAACATCGAACAAGTGATGATGATTTTAGTTTGAATATTGACAATATGAAGAAAAAAAAGTTCGCTGGTTGTATCTGCAACAATCATCTGTATTAAATTAAATAGGTGAAATTATTCGAAGACTTAATTCCTTAAATTCCTTAAGCAATAGTTAAAGCCCTGCCATCTTCCAAGCCAGAGGGCATCCAATTTGATTTCTCTTCTTTCATTTTTAAGGACGACCACTTGATAATCCATTCTTTCAATATACTTGCCATCAGAAATCAAGGACCAATTTTCCATATGCATTTTTTCAATTATTTCTTTTAGCTTGATTGCCTCTTTGGTTGTTGACTTGTAAATAGCTGATTGACATGGAGTTGGAATGTCAATGCCATCACGAGCCAGTTGCTTGTATATGTTAGCAGCTTTGTTTGTTGATACTCTTGTGGAAGTCACCAAGCTGACTGCAATTTTCTCATCTTCTTCATATTTTAAAATTCACTGTCGCCAGCCTTAGAGTCAGAATTACTAAAACCAGGATAGTAAGATGATGAGTTGGATGACTCTTACAAAGATTTTGTTATTTAGGGGGATAGATTGTTTCTTTATTGGCCACTAGGCCTGTAGAGTATCCCACTGTTCCTTTGCTTTCCACTCGGAGATGTAACAATCGCTTGTCCTTGGAAGATAACCATGTTCAATCCACTTTAGTAATATCAAAATTTTGATCAAGGGGTTCGTAGCTTCCCAGCTTGACACATTCATCATAACATTTCAATATTTTATAAAGCTTTGATCGTATAAATTGATCAGATACATGAGGAAAATTCAGTTTATTTTTAGACAATTTGGTGACATCTTTGGAAAGGTCCGCTATTCGCTCCTTTCTTCCTTTGATTTTTGGTCCAAGTGGTAATAGTTTGCTTTTGGAGTGGCATTCTGCTATTTTCTTCCAGTGAATATTCTTCCAAAGGAACCTTTCTTCTTCTTTTATGAGAGTCTTCAAATTTTACCAGATTATTGGTCCAGACATCCTTGTTCTTCTGAATGCCATTTTCTCTAGACTTGTACGACGCCATGTGTTACTTCTGTAATAACTATATAATTAGATGAGCAGCTATATAAAGTCTAAAATGTTCTAGAATATTCCAGAACGTTTTAAATTGTTCTAGAATGTTCTAAAGTCTTCTAAAATATTCTGTTATTTTCCAAAATGTTCTAAATTTCTAAACACTTCTTATCTATACATGTTTTAAATGATTTGCAAGAAAGCTACACGTATTAGTAGTAGCAGTAACAAGATAAAATAAACGACAAAACGTAACTTGAATTGCAGAGTGACCTTTTTTACAACCGAGAGGAATTAAACATGTTTTCAATGTTTTCTAATAAAAGTTCATCGATTTATGATACAGTAAATAATTTTTTTTTAAAAAGTTAAAAAGTCATAACCTTTATATATATATATATATATATATATATATATATATATATATATATATATATATATATATATATATATATATATATATATATATATATATATATATATATATATATATATATATATATATATATATATATACATACATATATATATATATATATATATATATATATATATATATATATATATATACATATATATATATATATATATATATATATATATATATATATATATATATATATATATATATATATATATATATATATATATATATATATATATATATATATATATATATGAACATATTTTAAAGAAAAACACAATATTTTTTAATCTTGATATGTTTCGTAGTTAACATACTACATTTTCAAATGATAAAATTACAATTTAAAATTTAGGATATAAATATAAAATCAAAATTAGAAGACAAATTTTACAAATAATAACAGACAAATAGAATTGTTACAAACCAATAAAATTAATAATACTAATTATTATACCGTAAAAGTAAAAAACAAAAAAAACAAAAAACAATAAATTTAAAAAAAAAACTAGATTGACAAATTTATATTATAACGTACAGTTTGTTTATTTAAAGATGGGTTTTCCTGTTTAACATGGAGTGCTTCATTAATTTTCAATTTGTTTTTCTTAGGAGCAGTGTCCAAAATTTTAAAACAAATACAGTTTATTTGATTTTCACAATCAACAAATGAAATTAAATGCTTTTACAGGGTGGCCACAGTTCCTCTAAAATTTTCTAAAGCCCTTGTTTTTTAAAAATCTCCTTTAAAGTTCTCTATTATCATCTAAAAAGTTGAAAATATGATCAACTTTTCTTTATAACTCCTCTTTTTTTTTTTTTTTTTGAAGTATACTCAATTTTTAGAAATATTAAAAATAAATATAATTTATCAAAAAATAATATTGTATTGTTTCGATTAGCAAATTTTTATTTTAGTTACAGTATTAGTGTTTATATTAGTTACTGTAATACATTTTTTAAAAGGTTTTCTTATTCTTACAACAATTTTAAAGAGTTTATATCTGTGTAGAAATTAATTTGAATGTAGTAATTTTCTAGTATGTCTACCATAAAGAATTTATTAGTTTTGTTTAGAAAAGTATAAACAATGCCTAAGTATAAAAGTAAATTTCAAGACTTGTGGCTCATTGAAGAGGAGTTTAAATGCTGGTTGCATAAAGATAAAAAAGATAAAAAAATGCTGGTTGCAAAAAGATAAAAAAATCCTGGTTGCAAAAAGATAAAAAAGATGAAATAAGTGCATTTTGTAAAGTTTGTTCGTAGTCCTTTAGCATTGGAAACAGCGGAATAGAAAATATAAAGCAGCATGCAAAAGGAAAGAAACATGTGGAAAGATTTGAACAAAGTTCCTTATACCACATTATTTGATGAATTTTATAACAAAATTATTAAAAAAAGTCAAATGGATTTACATGTTCGTTTTTGGGATGACACAGAAAATGAAGTAAAAACTTCTTATTGGAGTTCTGAGTTCTTGGTTAAAGCATCTGCTGGTGATGTTTTTTCAAAATATAATGATTGTTTAAGTTCTTTGGATCGTAGTATTGTCCTCCAAGTTTCTTCTGACGAGTCTAATGTATATTTAGCCTTTTTAAATCTGGTAAATGAGAGTAGAAAAGAAGATTTACTTGATCCATTAATTAATATCGGAACATGTAGTCTCCATACCCTTCATCGTTCTTTCCTAACTGGGGAAATGGCTACTGACTGGAATATTAAGAAACTATTTTTTTCTTTGTATAAAATATTTGATGAGTCTCCTTCTCGCCAAGCTGATTATGAATGTTTAACAGCTGCTACTTTTTCCGATTACCCTCTTAAATTTTGTGCACGCAGATGGATTGAAAATAGTAATGTTTCCAAACGTGCCTAAATAATTTGGCCTAACATAATTGAAGTTGTCAAGTTTTGGAAAGGCTTACCAAAATCGAAGCAACCTGGAAACGGAAAGCCTGGACAAAACACCAGTTTTGATTGTCTTGCTAAAGCTGTGGAAGATGTCACTATACCAATGAAACTTAGATTTTTTTGAGGAAATTGCAATATTAAATGATTTCTTAATTATTTTTCAAACCGACAATCTAATAGTGCTATTTCTTACCGAATCACTAGACAATGTCCTTCGTAATTTATGCAGCCGCTTTTTGAGGAAAGATGTTTTAGAAAAAGCAAACTCTGTATATAAGCTGCTCAAAGTTAACTTTACTGATAAAGTTAATCGAGTGTTATTGGAGTCTGTTGATCTTGGTTTTGCTATAAAACATGATATCAGAATTTTGAAAAAAAAATGAAAAGTTGAGCGATAGTCATTTACGCAATCTTCAGTATGGCGCTTTACAGTTCTTGTCTAGTTTATGTACGCATTTTGCAGAAAAAGGTATATTGAAAATAATCTTGTTCGAAGAACTTCTTGCTTGTCTCCTAAAGTTATGTTGGAGCTAGCAGCATTATCAACAGCTTTATTAGACAAAATGCTTGAAATCCTTGTTTGTTTGAAAAAACTGACTGTTGAAACCGCAATGAAAACCAAACAAGAGCATTCAAAATTTTTGTCAAATTTTGTTAAGGCTAACACAGAACTATTCAAAAAATTTGAAGAATCTAAAGATCGGTTTGACTCATTTCTCTGGAAGCACATTGGTTCAGATTCTAACTATAAATCCCTTTGGTCTGTTGCCCAAATTGTTTTAATTCTATCTTACGATCAGGCAGCTGTTGAGCAAGGATTTACTGAAAACAAAATGCTTCTTGTTGAAAATCTTGACATTGAAAGTCTTATTTCTCAACGATTAATATTGGACTATATGAAACAAAAAAATGTTGAACCTCACAGATTTCCCATGTCAAAGAATTTGTTATCGTATGTGAAATCTTCTCGTCAAAAATATCAACAATCGCTTGACGTAATAAATCGCATTTTAAAAGTCTTTCAGAGCCACCCAAATGACAAAACATGGATGTTAAACCTATATAAAAATCTTCTCTAAAATCCTCTATTTTTATTAAAAATTTTATAGTTTCGCGATTAAAAATCCTCTAAATTTGGTGCAAAATCTTCCTAAAATCCTCTAATATTTTCTTTATTTATGAATATTTTGTGTGGCCACCCTGTTTTAAACAATAGATTGTTTGTCACTGGTGAGATGCTTGTAAATCCTTGTTGTTAAGTGTCTGGAGGTTTCTCCAATATAACTGGCATTACATCCAGCACAAGAACATTAAATCTGGTTTTCTAAATTGATAATAATTTTTATTGGGTTTCACGAACAAAAATATGTTAGTAATTGTTCTTCCTCCTTACCGATTTTCTATAAACGTTATATGGATGATATTATATTTTTAATTCAGAATTTGAAAATTTTTTACACATCTTAATAAACAACATAAAAACTTGAAATTTACTATGGAAAAAGAACAAGATAATCAAATTGCATTTTTAAATGTTCTTATCAATAAGTCTGTTTCGCTTTCCACATCAGTTTATCACCAAAAAAAACATTAAAAAATATTGTTAAAATGTTATAATTAACTTAATTTTCACTTCCAACAAATTACAAAACAGTTTATGTATAAAAGATCCACTTCCTAAGCTGATCAAATCCAATGTTGCTTACAAATTTTCTTGTGCTGGATGTTGTTTGCAAATTTTCTTGTGCTGCATGAACAAATTTTCTTGTCTTGTGCTGCATGTACATGTTTTCTTGTGCTGGAGGTACAAATTTTCGATGTCTTTTAGTTTGTTGACTTTCAAAAGAAAAGTTCAAAAGGAAAGTTTCTTTACTTTGCTTTTGAATTGAATTGTTAGTTTTTGATTTTCTAAAAATGCTCTATGATTGACAGACATTTTTGTGATAAATATTATTTCTTTAGATATTATTGTTGATGGCAGAATTGGTTATGATGCAAGCAACATCGAGTGTTCAATTGGCGACATTAAAATAGCCAAAAAATAATGTTTTCGCTTGATTGTATTTATATATTAACATCGTCAAAAGTTTTATTCATTTTATTTTTTTGTGATAATTTGTTTCAGTTCTAAGATTTAATTATTTATGCAAAAACCTTATTATTATTCTAATGAGGGTTGCCACACGAGTTGTATTTTTAAACACGTGTATATTAAATTTAGGCCTTGTGGGTTAAAAAAGGGTTTACTTCTTATATCAAAACCCCATTTTTTTATAGTTGTTAGAAATGGAGTTAGTATGAGAATAAGCTAAATAAAACTAAAAGTTGAATGAACGGCCTATCTACACTCACATAAAAATGCATTCATACGCATATAGATATACACTTTTAAAAATATATACAGCTATAAATTAGTATATTAAGGAAAAAATAAAAATGTGACAGAACAATTCAAACATTAAACAAAAAAAATACATGATAATATAAGCAATACGTAACAATTCCTAATAAACACAATACTCAAAATAAAATAAAAATACACATGAGTGTCTGAAAAAAATTAATAATAAACGATCTAAACAGCGCACAAAAACACATCATAAAACAAACAGCTTAAAAAAATACAGGACAATTTTTTTTTTTAATTTTTTTATTTAAATATATGTTTGCTGTTTATATAATAAGAAATATAACTACAAAGAAACGTTTACATACAAAAAAAGTGAATTTATAAAAAACAGGCAGTGGCTTAAAGAAGATACGGATGACTAAAGTCACCACAATCTTTTCATAGAGCCCCTAGGTGGGCTTTACAAGTTAAAAAAAATCTCCAATATAATAAAAAGGTTAAAGCTTGCATAAATATTTCCATTAAATCAAGAAAGTAAATAACATCATACAGTTTTATCAATATTCATTAAAATATATTGGCAACTCTGTTAAATATCAAAATAAGAGCCAATAAACAAGTAAAAAAACTAAGAATAATGGAACTCGATTTTCATTTCGAAAAATCAAGAAAACTACTTATCTAATTTAAAAATTTGTTTTTTTACAATAAACTTAAAGGAATTTAATGATTTTACAGTATTTAAATTTTTTGATTTTTGAAAAGTGTTCCATAGTTTTGGTCCGCGGTATGATATATTTAGAATACTTACTATTATTTCTTGTTAATTTATAAGTATTCCATTGGTTTATTCTAAGAGAATATTTTTTGTTTACATTTTTTGTAAATTTATCATTAAAGTTTTTTGCAATTAAGCTGTTGTTACATTTATACATAAAAATTAGGTGTTGGTAAATGTTGATTTCATATATATTCATCATTTTCATGTTTTCCATTAATGGTTTTGCATTTTCATTTTTTTTTTTATATATTTATATAAGTCTGCATGCATGTTTTTGTAAAGAAAATATTTTTTTAAGTTTTGTTGGTTGAGTAATAGTTCATGTAATATTGGCATAGTATATGAAACAATGTGTTAGGCCAAAATATACTAATTTCAGACTTTCTGATGTTACATATGGACAAATACGGTACATCAGACCAATTGTTTTACTAATTTTTGATTGAATATAATTAATATGAGGAAGCCATGATAAATTTTCATCAATAAGAATTCCCAAGAATTTTATTGAATCATTTTTACTAAGTAGTGCATCATTTAAAATCATTGGTTCTGCAAGAATTACTTCATTTGATTCTTTTCTTTAAATCTCAGAGGTCTGCAGTAATTAGTTGACGATGGTTTCGGATTTCTCCAAACAACCTGTTTTTTGTCATCTTTGAAACAATATAGTTCTAGAGAAACCAAGCAAGTTATGAAAAGTGATTCATCTGTATGAAGTTCACTAGAAACATCTGACAGTTGTTTATAAACAGATTGTCCTGTTGCACCATCAAAACCAGCTTTGTATATTATAAATAGTTTAGTACAATCTTTAAGCACAGGTAAATTTAACACAACACTATAAGCTGAACATATTCTTGATGCAGTATGAAAAAGAAGAGCTTGTAATGGAACCTCTGTAGAGTAGTCACTGACCTGAATGTTTTCAGGGTAGCATTTATTTTTAGCCTCTTTTACAATATGATAGGATGGGTATAGAGAGCTGAATGGAAGAGCATTGTTTCTTAAATGCTGATAAGTTTCTTTGGATAAATTAGCATTTAAGACTAGCGCTAATGATTGTTCTGAAGTAAGTGATTTTGCCGATGATTCTATGTTGTATATTTTTTTAACTACTTTTGCTTCTATAAACCTTTTATCCCTATTCAAACTTTTACTTGCTGCATATAAAAGTTCGTTAAAATTATATTTACTCAAAAGCTCTTTAATTATGCAAACTTTAGTTCTCACAGGCGCATTTTTAAACAAAATCGAAGGGCGTCCACCTTAAAGTATAATATTATTTTATCAATTAATAAATCGTCGTAATAATAATACAAATAAATTATACACATTATAATAAATTTACACATAGTTAAATTAAACATACTACAGGTTTTTGTTTCGATTTTTTTTTTTTTACAGTCAAATATAGTTTGGTTTAACCAAACTTTATATCTTTTTTCAAATACTGCACTTGTTCTATTCGATTTTTTCCACTTGTTTTTAGGTAAATGAATTTCGAAATTTTTTAGGTAAATGAATTTCGAAATGCTTGGTAAATGAATTTCGAAATAATTGACAAGTTATCATTGGATTCTTTAAAATTTCTTTCGGAAACAAAACTCAAAATCTTTGCATGTAAAACATCATTTTGTAGTAAATTATTTTCCATTATATAATTCATAAGACATCTCCTATCCATTTTTAAGAGATTGTCTGTTCAATAAAATACTTTTAAATTGAAAGAAAGTGATTTAAAATCTTTTTAATAAAGTAATTTTTTTACGAGCAGTAACTATGAAACTTAGTTCCTTTCCTTTATTTCTCATTGGTTGTTATCGTGTTTTTTATCGATTACATATAATTTTATTGTTTTCGGAAATTATAAAATAAATAATAAATATTATGTCCCAAATTTGTACTACGTAGAAGTATATAATTCATATTTTATCACAGCCTCTGAGTTTGTTTTACTTTAAAACGGTAGCATAAAAAATTAGGAATAATGGTTTCAATGCGATCTAAATGTTCATTGAGCAAATACGAGGATGTTACTGAAAAGCATTTAAAAAATACAAAAATATTTAATTTTAACCTTATGTCTTTAATAAAAATTATTATAAAGTCAAACTGCAGTTTTTAAATTTCAAATCTTCTTAATTTTTTTGTTATCGATCAAAAACGCATTAACAAGAAATGTGGACGTAGTTAATTGAACGTGGACGTAGTTAATTGAATTTAAAAGTGTACTCGTTTAGGCAGCTATAGGCAGCCAATTTTTATACTACAAGATCAATGTCATATTGGTATTCAATTATATAACATTTTAAGCGGTTGATACATGTTGATCCGATGGTTTTAAATGATATTTTTAATGAAAATAAAAACTTATAACTCAAAATTATTGATGTTTGCATTGTTGAAAATGTTTATATAAAATGCAAAAAATATTTTTTTTTTATATGATTTAAATATTAACATAGTACTATATAAGTCATTTATAAGTTAAAAAAATATATATTTTAAAAAAAATTTATATATATATAAAATGCAAAAAAAATTTTTTTTTTATGTGATTTAAATATTAACATAATACTATATAAGTCATTTATAAGTTAAAAAATAAACTTAAGTTTCTTTAAAATAAGAAATCAAAGTTTTTAAAAGATGTAAAAAAATAAAATGTTTACACTTTTTTGTTGTTATTAATGAAAAGTATTTAGGAAATATTTAAACAACAAATATGGAATTTTAATGAAAAATTATTTTTTAATAAAATATAATTTCTGGCTTATTAATATATTGAGCATAATTTGCCTTTTTCAAAATTGCAAAATTTAAAAACTTTTTTGTATGGTTTTGCCGGCTTCTGACCCACTGTGCTTGGTATTGAACTTGAATTTAAAACTTAAAACTAAATGCGTAATTTTCTGGTATCAACAGCGGTATATAATACGTGATAAATACTCTGCCTATATACAACACCACATGTGCCGGTTGGGATATATATATATATATATATAATATATATATATATATATATATATATATATATATATATATTTAAGTAATTTTAAATGTATTCTACAAAATAAAGTGTTCTTAAAAAAAGAAAGCAATTTGTGCTGATGGCTTTTTTTTTTCATAGGTGCGTTAGGCTACACCAAGAAATTTCACAAAGCAATGATATATGATATATATCATTAAAATATATTCTATAAAATATTGACTAATATCGTTACGAAATCACTAGAGTAATTGCATATATGGTATTACTATGGTTATTTTTTTGTTTTATTAGTCAAAATTTTTATAGAATTCTGTCAAAAAATAAATATCAAAATTTGAGAAACGATGGTAACTGATCTATGTAGAGAAAACTTTACTAGTCCTAATAAATCGGCTTTTGTGTTCAAAGAAGAAGAAGAAGTACTTAATCAGCTTCGTATACAGAAGCCGATATGGATAGATATGGGTTCTTGTGTGCGAGAGTTCAGTATGGTATCATATCAATCATTTTTGAAGCGCCATAGTTATAGCATACTTAGTTTTTTTCTAGTTTTATTATTTACTTTTGGTATAATTATCATACTCTAATTTAGCCAAGATCATATAGAGCTGTTATTTAATACTGAGTTGACAGCACAAAAATATTGTCATATATTTACAGGTCAAAAAACCACAGAAAAAGCTTAACTATGTGCATCTCCATATAACTATTGGTTTATTTTAATTTCATAATAACTTTCAGTTGGTTTAGTTTCATTATAACTATATCAAATGATATAATATATAGATATAATAAATGAATATATATATACATATATATATATATATATATATATATATATATATATATATATATATATATATATATATATATATATATATATATATATATATATATATATATATATATATATATATATATATATATATATATATATATATATATATATATATATATAGTTTTTTTCTAGTTTTA